TGTCCTCCTTCTTTTTGGCCAGGCAAATAGGCTGAGCAGTCCTCCTTGACAGGCATTCAAGGGCCATTATAAGATGGTTTGGACTATTTTTCAAAAGGTTGGTATACCTAAAGAAAACATGCTAACAGTGTCTCCATTCCAAAAGGACGTACCCCAAAACCACAGACACCAGGAGACCCGCTCTGGACTAGATGAGACAGTCACCCTAACACGTATTCGTAATTTCCCTGTACCCTGGGAAAGCCATGGGAGCTGCTATTGGCACCTCTGACATCAGTTGTGGTTGGGGCATGACTGCTGCAAGGGGAAGTCTCATCATGGGAGAATGAGAAGGGAAAAGGCTGTGTAAACAGGAGAAGATGGGAGCCATGACACTTCCTTCTGTCTCCCCCAAGACCAGCTACACGTCCGCACGCTGGCAGGGAAGAGAAGCACAGCCAGAGGTAGCTGTCAGTCCTGAGCAGGCATGGTGGGGAAGTTGGCAGCTCAGGATGCAGGTTCAAGTTATTACCTTCCTAAGGAGATGCTTCTAGTGGTGCCCAGCAAGCAGAGATGCCAGACAGGAGAGAGCAAATCTCTGTCGCAGGGACACCCAGCCATGGCCCCTGATATCAGGCCCAGTCCCGGCACTTCTTCTGGACAGCCCAGCACCAGGATCCCTCTGTCTATAGGAAGCTCCCAGCTCGTTGCCAGACCTGACCATCACAGCTCCAATGGCTGCAGGAAGGATAAGTTGAGAACTTGGGTAGGTGTTTCAAGAAATCTTATCACTGTTTTGTTGTTATATAGAGGAAAGTGATCCTCCTGCTTTGTACTTTCCCATCCCCTTCAGCCCCAATCATCCTGCCTCCCTGCTGCAGTGAGCAAGGAGACCTCCCCTTCCCCAAAGCTCCAGGTCCCTCAAACTGCCACAAGTCACCCTTGTGCAGCTCTCTAAGGGGATTGTGTGTGAACTGGCCTCATCTTCCAGGCTATGTTTCTGGTAAGTGATAGCCTGCAGGGTTGAGGGTTATATGCAACTTTCTGTCTTTCTATCAGGTTGCATTATCAAATGAGGCAGCCCACTCTGCCACTGCCTCCTTTCCCCTCACTGGGGACCACAGCAATACTCACACATCCAGGTGGGCACACAGCCACCTTTCTTTCCACACGGCTCTGCAGGATTTTACAGCTACACACATTGGGAAGCCTGGGAAGCAACCCATAAACATAGAGGACCCAGCCTGCAAAGCCGCTCAAGCAGCTGCAATGGGTTATGTAACAATCCCAGCTAAAACACCATTTTTCCTTGAGACCTTTTCTTGTTCCCTTGAAGACCATTTGGTGCCAGTGTCTGTGTTCTTCAGGACAGAACTGGTGCCTGCACTCCTCACAATCCCTGGTCCCTATGCCTTTGATGTTTGACCTACAGCTTTCATAGGGAGCACTGGACATGAGACACGCTCTGACAGCTTATGGATCTCCACCATCAGGACACCAGTTACCATGAGATGCTCAGCTGGCAAAACAGGCTTTCTGCTAATGACAGCTTTGGAAGTGCTTATCTATCCCCTAGCAGCAAAATCATATTTAGTTTGGATGGTGCACCCCAGTGCTGAGACACCACTGGCACAGCCCTCAGGGCTAACTCCAACTGTTTGCATCTTACCTTCGTCTCCCCAACAGCAGCCATAGAGACCTTTCCTATGGTTGTACCCTGGCTACCCAGGGTGTTTTGCTTTCTGTGAAAAATCTGCCCAAGATGAGGCAAGTTACAAGCTCCCAAATCTCTGTTCCCACTCCTGCTAGCCCAGGACAGTTGTAAAACCTTGCCTTCAGGGCTGACTGGGTCTAAAAGGTTTCTACCTTCCCAGTCCTAAACTGTTCAGCCCTGCTCCTGCACTCTCCCACTAGCCTAGTCCTTTGTGGGGCAGTGCTGCAAATTTGGTCACTAAAATGACCCAGCTAAAACAAACAAAGAGCACGCTCCTGGGGAACCATTCTTAAGTTGGTTTGGTGATATGAGCTATAGCATAGCCTTGCAAAAAGCTGGGCCAGTCCCTCTAAATGCACGACAAACCACAGCTTGGGAGTGGAACAAGCACTGAGACTTGCACTGCTTTTGCACTGAAGAAAACTTATCGCAAAACTGCCCCTAAGTTCCCCAGAAATACTGCCTTCGTGAGCCATGCTGTGGGCACTCTGCTCTTGCATGCAAAGGCACTGCACACATGCCTCTCTGCGGTGGCAGTGAGCATGTCGCCGAGACAAACCAGGACTTTGCTTGTAACTAATTCACAGCACTGTGGAGCCTGAACACGGGGATCCTCTCTCCTTTAATGCCTGTGTTCCTTCTGCCAGTGGAAAGCAGTCTGACCCAACAGGCAGGTTGGTATAGGGAAGGGAAGAGCTCAAGGCTAGGGGATTTATGACAGGAGTCATAAAAAGAGATCAGGGAATAAACCCAGAGAAGAAGCTGGGAGGGAATCTACACGGAAAAAAAGGTGTTCAGGCCAAGACAGCATCATGCTGCACATAGAAGACAGCAGATTACATTTGCACAAACAGCATTAGCATTCCCTATTGCTTGCATGCTTGACTGTGACATTCCTACTTCCCCAGTGAATTTATCCAACGTGATGCTATGTCAAACAAAGTAAAAAAAGCACTAACATCTCCAACTACTCCATTTTATTCATCCCTTTTTTTAAGTTCTGCGCACAAGCCTATTTGCTCCTGCATAGCTGTGTGTCAGGGAATTTCTTGTTTCTCATGTGGCTTTAACTGTTTTCTTTGTTATGGGACCAACCTGTAAAGTCCTCACAGCAAATATCCCACGAAGGAACCAAGCCTCTGGCTCCATTTTCATGTCTCCAGTCTCTCCTTCATACTTTCCCTTTTAAGCAATAAGGACTGATCCACAGCAACACATACTAGCAACAAGAGCTGAGATGTGCCAGCCACATGCATAGTAGCCAGCCTTTCTATCTGTGCATTTGATGGCTGTGATTCACAGCAGGTTTATGCAATTCGTTCTCAGCACTAGTAAACCTCTTTACACAGAAAGAAATAGCTATTTTGGGAAATCTGGTCACTGTGCACCTTGGAGCCAAAATAGCTACTTACATTAACGTGAGCTCCTGCAGCCCTCATCCAGAGAGAGAGAGATACTGGAGTGAACCCCACACCTCCTCAGCCAGCGCATCTCAGGCCAAACCCTGTTCAACTGAGTATACAAGAGGAGTTTTCATTACAACAACGTTCTTCCAAAGCGCAGTGAGCAGGCTGCTTGAAAAAAAAAAAAAAAACACCAGAGACAAATGTGCTGTCAAACAGTAATTTATTGACGATTCAACTTTAAGTCTGCAGCGACTTGAAAGGCACAGCAATGCGTGAGAAAGTGGGAGTCAAACAGATCCGACAAGCCAGACCAACAGCAAAGCACCTGCATCACACACTGTATCCCCAGAGGCAGACACTGCCTTGGTTGTCATATACAAGTTTTGGCAGCAGCAACAATACTTGGGACATTTGGGCACATGCCCTTTTCATTTTAAAATCTTTCCACCACATGGATATCAACTGCACAGACATCCATTCTGTGGCTGATGCTTTTAAGGCTGAAAAGTAGAAATCTGACAGCTTTGCACTCCTGAGCAAGAATTGCCTTTCAGTATCCCCAGGGTGGTGGTGGTGGTGAATCCACTAGAGCCAAACACCAGGGTGCTACCAACAGCTTGTAAACATGCACCACAGCCTCTACGCTGTACTCCCAGTAAAATAGGACCGTGCGTCACACCTACAGTTGCTGTCATTCCTGCAGAAAAGGCTGAAATCAATTCCAAGCTTTCATGTACACTTAATGAGGGACTGCTCCGTGGGATCCTATTAGGCACATCCAGAATGAGACAGGACTTTGCAACAGCAGTGCCTCTAATGGCCTCAGAGAGGACACGCTCTGTGGGTAACAGGCATTCTGGCTAACTTCTCATGTTTTGCTGTCAAGCTAGTAGCATAACACAAATTGATGTGCACATTCATACTATTACACTACAACTCTCTTTTTTTTTTTTTTTTAAAAAAAAAGGAGGGGAGACAAAATTGGTTTGTTTTAACCCAGATTTATTATCGTGTAAAACTGTTCAGTAAAGCCAGAAGTGCAACATAACAGAGCAGAAACTACTACTGGGCAAATCAACAGCACAAGACGACTACGCTGCAATTGTTTAACTGTTTACCAGAGAGAAAGACAATCCCTCTAACTCAAACGGAAAAAAGACTTGACAATTTACTTCCAACTTGTGTGCATCCTTGAGCCTTATTTCTGCTCCATTAAGCAACTGAAAATAAATAAATGTTGCACTTTTGTTGGCCTCTCCCACATCCAACCAGCACACACAAATCACATCACAGGACTATGCTCAGGCACAAGTCCTGACTTGGGACCCTGGTGAGTTGGGTCCTGCAGAAGTTAGGACACATAGCTGAAGATTGGAGACAGCTTCCCCCCACAATACATCTTCTCCATCCCTCACAACTGATGCTTCAATAAAAATATCTCCCCAAGTGAGAGGCTGCAGCTTCCACATTTCTGTAAGCAGCCTGGATCAGCACAAGTGAGCATAAGCACGCAGAGAGGCAAAGCCTTTTGCTCCACTTGTGTGATCATTTATGCATCAATGCAACAAACTGGAGCAGGGAACTGATCCAAACTAAAACT